GGGCCATCGGGTACTTGCTAGCACATTCTAACTTTTGCTTTAGTTACAGTAAAAGTAGGCACACTCCAGACGAAGGTCCCCACAGAGCCCGGGATGGGATATAGCTCACTCATTCAGTGCAAACCTTGTCTATGACAAGCCCGCAGAAGTCCCTAAATGACCTGATGTCTACATGTTTTGTGTCAAGTAACCTGACTAGGTCTGTCATAATTGGAGCCTATAGGCACAGGGAGCATGCTTGTCCAATTATATCTCACCGGATGAGCAATTTCCACTTCCGCACAATGTGCAAGTAAGTAGGTGGAAGATCCCCCTTACAGACACATGCACACAGTGCTAAACCGCATGACGATCTTGGACTACTTTCCTTTCCTTTCAGTGGCCCATGAACGATCGAGATGGTGGTAGGCTGATCGAGGTGACAATAGACCAGATAGTGGAGGCCTCAGTCGACAATTGACCATGCAGTGGAGACCTTAAGTGATCAAGAATTAGTTTGTAAACGCTTAGCAAGACAAGTCTACCCTCCCTCCTAGACGAGAATATACCGCAATCATACCGTGGAAGTATTGGCGAGGCCATGTGCACAGTAGCCAAGACACAATGAACAACCATGAGAGGGTCCTATAGCGCCAAAGCCTTCGTCCGTGTGGCCAAAAGCACCACGTTTCAATGAAACATGGCGTCTTGGGAGTTCAAGAAAGGATGTTCTTCCGTCTTGGATTGCAGCTGAACTATTCCTATCCCCTGTATAGTTCACGCCCCCAACGGCGCCCCCAAGAAATAGTCGCCAGTCAAGCAAGTCAGTAGAGAGCTTATCACGATTCATACCAGAGATAACGGCGAACCTCATGTGAGGAAAGGCAAGTTCAGGGGAAGCAGAAGTGGGATGAGGTTTGTGATGGGTGGAAGAAACCGTTCAGACAAAACACCACGGCTCGTCACTGACATGTATAAAGACCAGAGGTTTCCAGACAAGAAACACTCTCACCACTCATCCTTTGAGCATCCGCTTCTCCACCTCTTCATTGTTCAAGATGGTCTCCAAGTATCTCTTCTCAGCTCTTCAGCTCGCTTCGCTTGTCAAAGGTATATACGGCCAGGTCGAGGTTCTTGCTGAGCGTCCTGCCAAATATGTCGACGACACTCCTGAAGCAGAGAAGGTCGCGCTGGCATCTATTGTCGAAGATGATCCAACCGATGTAGTTACTATCATGGCAAAGGACTGGGAAAGTCCAGAGTATCCTCTCATCTTCGGTAAAGCACTGCCTATCCCCCCAGCCAAGCAGCCAAAGTAGTAAGTTTTTCCGCCCACCACACCCTCAGTGCTCTGGCAAAATACTGATTGGACACAGTAAATTCACAAACCCTGTTACTGGCAAGGAGATTTGGTACTACGAGATTGTCATCAAGCCGTTCACTCAGCAGGTTTACCCCAGTCTGCGTCCTGCTCGTCTCGTAGGCTACGATGGCATCTCGCCTGGTCCCACCATCATTGTGCCTAGGGGAACAGAGAGCGTGGTACGCTTTGTCAACCAAGGTGACCGCGAGAGCTCAATCCATCTTCATGGCTCGCCTTCCCGTGCTCCGTTTGACGGATGGGCTGAAGATCTGATCCAGCAAGGACAGTACAAAGGTAAGTACAACACTGCAATTCCAATCCCCCCATCAATCTCTTCTGGTACTAAAAAACTGTACCGTAGATTACTACTACCCCAACAACCAAGCTGCAAGATTTCTCTGGTACCATGACCACGCCATGCACTTCGTAAGTCCCCCTCGCCACCCCCCCCCCTTTCATCCCTCCCCAACAAAATACTAACCCCTCCCCCCACCATCAGACGGCAGAAAACGCTTACTTCGGGCAAGCCGGCGCCTACCTAATCACGGACCCGGCCGAAGACGCTCTCGGCCTCCCCTCAGGCTACGGCCAATACGACATCCCGCTCGTCCTCAGCTCCAAATACTACAATGCCGACGGCACCCTACAGTCGAGCCTGGGCGAGGACAATAGCCTCTGGGGCGACATCATCCACGTCAACGGCCAGCCCTGGCCCTTCCTATCCGTCGAGCCACGCAAGTACCGTCTGCGCTTCCTCAACGCCGCCGTATCGCGGAATTTCGCCCTCTACTTTGTAAAGTCTGATGCCACTGCTACCCGGCTCCCATTCCAGGTCATCGCGTCGGACGCGGGACTGCTTACGCACCCGGTTCAGACATCAGACATGTACGTTGCAGCCGCCGAGCGCTACGAGATTGTATTCGACTTTGCGCCCTTTGCGGGTCAAGCGATTGACTTGAAGAATTTCGCAAAGGCAAACGGCGTCGGTACTGATGATGACTACGCAAATACAGATAAGGTGATGCGGTTCCGTGTTAGCAGCGCTGCCGTGGTGGATAACTCAATGGTGCCCGCGCAGCTGTCGACGATCCAGTTCCCGGCTGACAAGACGAGCATTGATCACCACTTCCGCTTCCACCGTACCAACAGCGAGTGGCGCATCAATGGCATCGGGTTTGCAGATGTGCAGAATCGCATTCTGGCAAAGGTTCCTCGTGGCACGGTTGAGCTTTGGGAGTTGGAGAACTCGTCGGGTGGGTGGTCGCATCCGATCCACGTGCACTTGGTTGACTTCAGGGTCGTTGCCCGGTACGGTTCTGAGAGCACACGTGGTGTCATGCCGTATGAGGAGGCGGGACTCAAGGATGTTGTCTGGCTTGGTCGTCACGAGACGGTGCTTGTGGAGGCGCATTATGCTCCTTGGGACGGCGTCTACATGTTCCACTGCCACAACCTTATTCACGAAGACCAGGATATGATGGCGGCGTTCGATGTTACCAAGCTGCAGAACTTTGGGTACAACGAGACGACTGACTTCCATGACCCTGAGGATGCACGTTGGTCTGCTAGACCGTTCAGCGTTGCTGATCTCAATGGACGATCGGGTCTCTTTTCGGAAGCATCTATCAAGGCCAGAGTCAATGAACTGGCTCTTGAGCAGCCTTACAGCGAACTGGACAAGGTAACGGCTTCTCTTGAAGAGTACTACAAGAAGAATCAGAAGAGACAGGAAGAGTGCAAAGACAGACCTGCTGGTCCCATCCCCCGGTACCGTAGGTTCCAGGTCTGATTGAGATTGGCTCGGGGTGATTAGTCTAATATTTCATCTTGGGTGACAACGGAAGGTGTATAGCTAGTATGTTATTCGTCCGATAGTAACAGAGAGATTTTTACTTGTATCTATGTGTCTCTATATATCCAAATCTCAGCCATTTCATCACTGACTCTTCCTTTCCTCATTTTCCGCCACTGGCTGATAAGGGTACTTGATAGTAAGACACCAGATGTCGAGGTAATCACATATAGTCCAGATGACATCCACAATGAAGCTTCCATGCACTCCGATAGCAAGTCCTAGACACATGAAGACGAATGCTACTTGATAAACGTCGTTGCCCAGAGCGCTCGGCCAGCCTGCACCAAAGTTTTCTTGCAGCCAGGGTCCAAGAGAGTCAATGACTCCGAAGATTAGAGGGTAGATGAGTACGTTGCCCCTTGGGAAACGTGACTTTGTAAGATGGGAGATGATCATTCTTCCAACCGAGTAGGCATTGATCAAGCCAGCGTAGAAAACGAACAGTACTAGATGGTGGTGCAGAATGACGGGCTGAAGATACAAGTAGGCAGGGATCAGGACCCAGGCGCCCGCAAATGTAAGTAGTCCAAGCAGGGCAACGCGTGTCTTTTGACCACGGGCGCGGCGCGCTTTCATGACGTTCAAGGCACTTTAATACTGTCAGTCTAGTTCTTAGCATCTGAAGAGCTACACTTGCCTGAGAACAGTGTTGAAAACCAGCACAAATCCTCCTTGTACCATGTACCATTCATTCCATGCCATGTTGTAGAGAACATCTGGGATAAACTCAAATTGTTTGATGCCCAAGGTCGGAAGCATGGGGCGTTGCCAGAAGCTACCACCACCGAGAAAGGCTGTCAAAGCGTACACAATGCACAGTATGACGATACCTTCGACTGGCCCTGAAATGATACCAAGCGTCAGGGTATGCGTGTGGTACTCGTCCCAAGTCTGGACATAGAATGTCAATGATGCTGCGCTGGTCAGTAAATGAACTTCTATCCGCCAGGTCACATGTCACTGACAGGCAAAAAGTGTAAGGACTGTTTTCCATCCTTGGCCGAGATTCATGACTGCAGAGAACAGCAGCACCTCCAATGTAGTGTTTATCGCATCAACTCCATGATCAAACAATTCACCAAGAGGACCGCTTTGGCGAGTTCTGCGGGCTTGGCTTCCATCGACAGCATCAAATGTCTGATACAGGAAAAGACCAATAGCCCAGCTGAGGTACACCCATGGTGGGCAATCTTGATCTAGCGTCGGTGTGTACCATAGCATAGTAAGAAAGTTGATAACAATGAAGCTGAATCCAGTCAACGTGATCTACATAGCCATGTTAGTGCTCATCCAGATATTTGCAGTCAAGGTGGGGTTCAACTGGCTGCTTGTGAGCGGATCAGGGTCCCGAAAACATCATACTTACAAGATTCGGCCTGGAAACGGTTAGCAATGCACATGGTCGATATGTGACAGCACTTACGCCATCCACATGGGAAAACATTTGATGACGACATGGGTGTAGAAAGGCTTCAGCACATATTGCGAGAGAAGACTGTGATCCACACCAGAGTACTTGTACTCTTTGAGCTTGGGTAGCTTGTCCTGTCGAATGTACACCATTGCAGAGCGAGTCCTCCTGGACCAAGACGGTATTGGCAATTGTTGTCGTGTTGTCGCAGCGAGGAGAGTAAACTTTGCGCGGTGTGTGTGCGTGAGAGAAGAGGCCCGAGCGTGGGGTCATATCGTATGACGTACCCCGCCGCTCTGGCCTGTTTTCCCTGTCACGCACACGCTTGTACTCGCGCGAACACGTGGGCAATGACTGGACCAGTGGCAGAAGCTGCTCTCCCGAATCTTGTTCTGAATTCAAGCCGACCAGCATGGTGACTAAAGTATGTTTTCAATAAATAAATTGTATCAAACCATAATATTTGCAAAGTTAGACCGAGCTACCGCACCCCCTCAGTCCTGCGATTGAGTGATACCTTGATCAGTTCATGGACCAAGAAGGCTTCTGTCCTTCTGAGGCCCAGTGATGAGTATTGTTCGGGCTGGGAGAGCAAGATCTGGTTTCTGCGCGATTATTGCATTCTCGTCCCGTAAAATGTTAAATTCGAGTCATGTTCGGCTTCCATTGGGTACAGCTCAAGCCACAGGACTCCAGGAGCAGGGAATGAGGATGCTGCTCTTCATGGTTTGAATAAGTGGTACCGTCTTGTGCACCGTCTCGCCCCACCCTTCCACGCTCCAGCTTTGTTCACGACGAATCTTGCGTTCCTCGAGGTTGGCAAACTGCCATAGATGATGCACTGTGTTGAGGTCGCCGATCTGGACGAACCAAGCACCAACACCTTCCATGACCTCTCGTCGGGCCTTCAGCCCACGTCGCCAGTGTGTCTCCCACTCTAGCAAGTTGCCTGGGTGCAGTGTATACGAGCGTAGTTCGAAGATGCCACCAAGCTGGCGCGGTGGTGTAGTCGGCCAGAAAGAGAACTCTTGCATAAGAGAATTGCGCTTGCCAGAGATCAACTTCTTCAGTTTGGCATCGAAGGCGGGGAATTCAGGGTGCGACTGGATGTTGTGTAGCGACTCGTGGTATCCTTCGTAGCGCTGGTATTCCCAGATGTGCACTGTGTGGTGTGGTCAGCAGAGGAGCGAGCCAAGCTATGGCGGAGACTGGAGAGCTTACCAAAGGTGTTGCAGTCGCCAACTTCGGTCCTCCAGCTACCTACGAGATGGACCTTGTTCTCGGGAATCGAGGCCATCTTGGTATACCAGCCGCCAACCAACTCAGTGTACTCTTCAACGTTTTCCTGCTTGACCTCGTGGAAGACGATTGAGTGAACGTACTTGCCGCGGGCTAAGACCTGCGAGAAGCTGCGCTCGATATCCTTGTCAAGCTCGCGACCTTCGGGTGTGCCGTAGATGAGGGACGATAATGCACCACCCTTCTTTTTGGCATTCTCATGCTCACGGGCGCGAGCTTCTTCTGCAATGGCTCACGTCAGCGTTGTTGAAGATCGGTTTGCTGCTGGGGGGACTATGACGTACTCTCCTCCTGCTCCTTTCGCTTCTGGGCTGCTACTAGGCCATCGCGGAACTTCTTTTGCTTCTCGTTGAAACTGGCCGCATTATCTGGCGTGATGTCGGCAAGTGCGGGAGCTCGCGCAGGACTCTGCGCCGCAGTTGTAGCACCAAAAGCTCGCGTGCGGACAGTGACAATTGGTTGTGGGATCAGCCTGCCGCGCACGCTGGCACAAGCACGACGTGAGAGCATGGTGTTGAAGGTAGAGAAGGAGGACAAGAGGGGAACCACCGAAGAAATCGTTGATGTCAGCAAGTGTGCGGGTGGGTGAAGCAGCGTGGGCGTACTTGGGACCCCGGGCGACTTAGAGCTTCCCCTCACCTACATGTTACCCCCCCAGCTCCCCCCCGTCAACCCAGCTAGCGTGCCCGGGGCACTGGGGTAAGTCTGCCCCACTACGTATGTATCGACGACACACGTCTCCACTTGGTCCTTTCAGCCATCCACGTAATCCTGCTTTGGCAGCAGCGCACTTTTCATCTCTTGGTCAATTGACACGCATATATTGACATTGGCAATTATGGCGATTTGTATTCAAGCCATGTCAAGTCCATCTCCAAGCACGAGCCTTCGTCCAGCCCAGTGCTGGCTTCTCTTGTCACACTATGGATATCTACCAGCGCCCACCAATACCCCATGTTCCTTATCGCCCAAATACAACTCGACACGACGCGTCATGTGTCCCTGTTATAGCACAGTCATACTGCCTCATGCTTATGGAATAAAGCCGTCTGCAGGGCAAAAGATGGCAGATCGCTGCCGAGTACCACTCTGCACTAGCAGTGTTACCTGCACAAATTAACACTTTCTCTTCGAAGAGACCTGTAACGCATTCAAGGCTTCCAGCTCCTCTAGTCCTCGTCGAATATCTGAAGCACATTGTCTAAGATGGTAATGATCACGCGAGCCTGCAGTCCAGCATCGGCCATGTTGTTGCCTTTATGGGGGCCCATGATTGAGGGTCTGTACAGGGTTAGCTGGCGCGGCAACTACCTAGTATGTATTCACTTACGCCCAACAAATGGCCAAGTTGGCAGTGCTCATGCGGTTGATCTCTGAAGATTGCTGGACCCGGTGCAGATGCAGAGCAAGAGCACGCAGCGTTGCGTAGTTCGGATCAGGCAGGGCGTTGATCAGAGCATGCATCGAATCCCGACGCATTGTATCATCGTCAATCCGTGCAGCCTCAATATACTTGCCATAGAATTCGCGCGTGAGGAGCGGATCAGGCAGCTCGCGGAAGAACTGTTTCAACAGCCCTGCGACACTGTTGACGTCGTGCTGAAAGGATTCTGGGTTGCGGAAATCGACCTGGGAAGCATCTGCCCTGCGTTAATTGGACCGCCAATGTGTATCATTCATACAACATACCACTGTCGAACAAAGCCTTCATCTGCTGGATATGTGAAGAGGTTCCTGGAATTCGATAAATACCTTCGACCTCCAAGCCATAGAGATCGACAGCCTGAATGCATTGGTAGACTATTATCGGTACGGGAGAACCATCTCGACGGAACAGTTCTTCTAGAGTGACACCAAAGATGGGGTTGATGGGAGGTTGACCAGAGTGATATAGCACGCCACTAGTCTGCTGTGCCGTGGCTTGACCGGCCGGGCCACGCGGATAGTCCGCCTGTGGGTAAGGGGCCTGGGAAGTAGGCGAGTAAGGAGCGTTTGTTGGGTATGGTGCTGGCTGAGGCGGTTGTGGTTGGTGGTGCTGCAGCTGCAACGAAGGAGGTGGCTGCTGCGAGTGCGTCCCGAATGAAGGCTGTTGCGAGGGCTCAGCATGCGAAGAGCTCTGCTGCAAGGGAGAAGTAGAGTGGAGGTCTGGCTGCGGTGTCGAGAAGGTCGGCGGGGGTTGACTCTGTAGCTGCATTGAAGGACGACTATTTCCAGCTGGCGGGGTTGGATGAGATCGTCCCTGGTTTTGGGTCGGATGCTTGACGTATTGAAGCTCCGTTCTGGAAAGAGGCCCTTTGGATCCCTGGCTCAAGACGAATTCCTCAAAGTCTCGCTCATTGTTGATCTGGTAAATGAGCTGGTTGATGCTGGGCGGGGGGTGAGCAGTGCTGCCCTTGAGCGGTTGGGGTGTGACGACTTGGCCGTTGTTGACCACGAGTTTCTCGTTGAATGAGGCTGGCGCTGTGTCAGTTGGGTTTCAATTTCAGAGACAAGATTCTTACCAAACTTCTGCATTTCCATGGTAAGGGCAGCATCTGTTTCCTTGATCAGGTCCAGTAGTGCAGAGACGGCTTGAGGTCGCGTAGTGGCAATGAGCTCCTTGCGTAAGGCCTGGGCCGCCTGCACCTTGCTGGCGTAGTCCTGGTCCGCCGCCTGGGTCTTACGCTGAAGATCCTCTTCATGCTGGGCTGCTGACTTAGGTCCCTTCAGACCAAACTTCCTGCCCGCCCCTGTGTCGCCCGTCTTGACACGGTCGAGATCTTCGGCCAGCTGGTCGTATTTGGCCTTGGCCTTCTCAGCCAGCCGTTCGGCCTCCTGCACCTTGTTCTCAGCAGACAGTCCCTGTTGCTTCCATGTCTTGCGGTTTCCGTCCATCTTGTTGGCTAGCTGCAGGAGGTTCTCGTGCATGGCGTGCAGGGCGAGCCCAAATTGGGTGCCATTGTCGGCGATGCGCTCGTTGGCGTGGAGGACTTGCTCGAATTGAGTCTGATAGCTCTCATGTCGTGAATCGGGCTTGCGCACGCCGTCGAGTGTCCCCCGGCTGAGTTTCTTCAAGCTGCCCGCATGTTCCTCCTCAAGGGCGCCCCGGCGCTTCAGAAAGCTCGCAAAGTCCTACCACGTATGTGAGCGGGTTGGGCTGCATAGTCAAAGTTGGCGCCCACTGACCCTAGCACTTGAAATGCTGGCTTTGAGGCGATTCAGCAGGGTCGCGATGCCCACGTCTGAGTGTAGGATCTCATTGACCCGCTGTTGGTTATGCGCATCCTGGGGAGTACTCCGCTGTTCCGACGTTGTGGGAGCGGCCTCGTGGGTTGGAGATGCGAGGGCACCGTCCTTTGCTGGGTCGGATGCGCTGTTGAAGTCCGGATCGAAGGGTTCCGTCATGTCCACGGGCGCGATTGTAGGTGGGGCGTTCATTGCGGGCTCAGATACCATGGTGGTTACATATATGCCAGCGGTCATCTTGGGGGACGCGCAACCTATCAGGCGGAGACATGGCACGGACTGTTCCAACGTCATCGTTTCCGCCGGTTCCTGTTGCATCCCACCCACCAAACACAGCCCGTGACCCAAGCATCACCCGCGTCGCGCCGCCATTCACTGATTATCTTGCGGGACCGTGCTCTTTTCTCTCTCGTCTTGGGCAATATTGCACCTCGTATTAATGTCCAGCATGTCCAACAGCTTACCCGAAGAGGTTGTAACATGCCTCCAGAATGCCCGCTTTGTGAGTTATCCCCCCTGCCAACAGTCTTGTCTTCATTTTCCTTATGGCTCCTCCTCGGCAATCTCTTGTCATTACTGTCCTGTCTCTGTTTATCGCCATTTCCATATCACGTGTCCAAATGGATATTGCTGCTCTTCGGTCTTGTGCAAGATCCTGACAGATGCTACAGCTTCATCTTGCAACATGCTCGGATAACATTCCTCATGTTTCCCTCATGAACTACACATATCTACCTAACACGCCTTACTCTTCAAGTCCAATCATTATCATGACAACACCGGCATCATCCCGCAAGACTCAGAATCTGGAATCGAACTCGCTTGTGTCTCTATTGGTGCACGACTGGATATCTCATCGGCCACCCACTCTAAGTCAGCCAGGCCGCTCCCCTTCACCAACCCGCCCAGCACCCCGGTCTGGATCACTGGCCGAGCTTCTTCTCGGCATGAACACAGCCTCATTGAGTCGAATCAGCACTACTATCAATGGCGTTGCTGAGATGGTTCCCTCTGGGTCGGAGCAAGAGACATGGTACAAGGCTCAACACGTTGCAAACAATACCTTTAGCGATGGTACAGAGGACATCTATTCGACTTCGCCAGGCGGAGAGGGCTTGTGGGGTAGTGGCGGGCTAGGCAATGGAGCTGCAAGTGGAGACGCGCCAAGAGAGGGTAATGCAGGGGCACAATGCTATCTGGACGGAGAAGAAGTCAGGGTTGTCATTGTAAAGATCCGTGACGGAAGAATTGCAGACTGGAAAGGCCAAGTGCGAGATTGGAGATTGTCAGAAGGCACCCAAGGTGCTCTACCCAATGGAACGGCAGATTGAGTCCCTTATTTCATACTAGGTGAGCGGATTTATATGTTATGTATTCAAAAGCTATGTTATCGTTTGCATGAAAGAAGCTGGACACTCGCACTGGATACCCTTGTGGGATATGCATATGCAAAGTCCCTGGAAAACGTAGTTCCTTTACCTTACACATCCAAAAGTACAGTAGATCGGCAGAGTCCGATTCTTCCTACACTCGCGAAATCAGACAGATCGAACTTTCACAACCAATACCATATTTCCTCGGAGCCCATGTGCGTTTGACAAATAGGGTGGCGAAATGCCCTGTAGTCTCGCTACAGATGTCTCTTATGCAAGGGGGTACCTTCCTGAACCATGGTGGTTTGTGGCACGCGTAGCGCCAAATCACATCCATTTGTCTTATTCCCCATCCGCGTGTGGCGTCAGGCTATTTCCTTTGTCTCATATATCAAGTCACGGTCAAAAAGCCAAACGACTTTCAATTTTGTAGCCCCTTGCTGCAGCTCCTCTTTTCTTCCCGACAGCGCAGTAATGCACATTTCGTTCCAAGTGATTCCTAGTTAGAGACCCCCTTCGTGCAAGTAAAGGTAAGTTGACATCTTGCCTGTTTATTCCTAGCACCATCTGACTTTACCTTACGCTGACCCAGCAACCTCGTGACTCTAGCATCAATGGCACTTCACACATCAGGCACCATAGTATATCTGCCTGCCTGCACCAACAGTCTATCTAACCTCCAACTGCGCCCCCTTACAGACTGCTGCCTCAGACGGCAAACTGCAGGTGAATGACGTAACCTCTCCCTGCGACTCACGAAGTCTCAAACTCCCCTTGAGTATTAGTGAGGTAAGTAAAGGCGATTTTTGACAGTGAGTGATGAACTGTGCACTGACCGTTTGCTATCACCAGATTTACTCTTTTGTTTTCCTGTGACTGCCTGTTGAAGCTTGGCGGTAGCCGGTGACGCACCTGAGCGATTTCTTTTATTCAAACCTCAGTTTTATTTCCTGTTTCTGAGATTTCGACTCCACACTTTTTCACAATTTTGAAGCTGGTTCTTGTTCTGAGTCTTGACAAAGGCTTTTGATTGACTTTCTTACATTACACAAAGACTGACCAACTCCTTGGAGCAATGGATTCTACAGTCTACTCTACTCCTCCTACAAACAGCATCTCACTCGCTGAGGCAATCAAAATTGCAGAAGCACGTTTTGAAGCTGCGGTTCAAGGCTGCAAGGATGACTGGCATAACGGCAATGATCTGGTCATTCTCCAAGACAACATTCCACAGCTCTTTGGGGGTATCCTGGTAGAGCATTTTAAACGCTGTGTGGGCGAAGTTTGTGGGTTTCCCGTCGAACTCACTGTTATGGATGGCGGAGACAACTACCATACTTTGGTACAGATGCCGAAGAACAACATGCGCTCACCTCAAGTTGTATCAAGCCCCCAATCAGCCCAGACATCGCCTTCTGAGCAAACCTCAATTAACCTGAAAGCCGTTGCTGCTGGCCTGAAAAAGGCTCCCCGCCCGATGAACTGTTGGATTATTTTCCGAGATGCAATGCACAAGCATCTAAAGGCCGAATTCCCACACCTCACTATTCAAGAGATCTGTAAGCACATGGCCCCCTCTGTCCTTCAGACAAATAGACACTGACCAAGTCATAGCTACGCGTTGCTCTCACATTTGGCACAACCTCTCTCCTGAAGCCAAAAAGCCCTGGCAGGACGCTGCCCAATCTGCAAAAGAAGAACACCTCCGCCAGCACCCCAATTACAAGTACACTCCAAGGAAGCCTGGCGAGAAGAAAAAACGTCAATCACGCAAGTCGAAGCGAGCTGCAGCCATGACCACGGCTCCAGAAGTGCTCCAATTCCAGCTGTCCCCCAAGTTAATCCCGACAGTACCTGAGGTTACGGACGAGCCACCGCTTGCTGCAAACCCTGTCACTGCTAATGGAAATAACGCCTGTCCTGAAGATGTCTCAAACTGCTTCGATCCCAATGTCTTCCCAGAGATATATCCGGAGGCTCCTATGGCTGCCGACTTTTTCTACAACGCTGAGTCAATCCGCCATAGCCTACTCGATACGGAGTTCGATATTGACTTCAACATGGATACTACTTTCGCCTTATTCGATGATGAGATGCTTGCCTTTCGCGATGGCGCAGACGGAGATGCAACTTTGCCGTCCTTGTTCGAAGACACCTACTAAAGGCGCTTTACATGACCACACTTCTTTCCTGTAAACTATGCATCAGGCGCACATCCACCAATCTTTGAGTGCTTACTTTGAAGCACTACCAAACCTCACCAACGTCGCTCATTTTGTCTTTATACTTTTCGCGCTTCTTCGGCAATCGAAATTCGGAACGAGAGGTCGGCATCTTCACATCGACACAAGGGGGGCATGCATGGGGAAGTTTACATGTACCAAAAGGGAGAATTAAAAGGGTAGCCCTCATTTCGATACTTTCTTGCTTTCGATCTTAGGCATTCTTAGACGATGGGATTCATTTCATGGCGTACTTGATGGGGTGGCATGTATCGGCATGGCTACAGTCTCTATTCTGCAGAATATTCATCAGGTGAACGCACCGACATGGACTGGACGGATGGCATGAGCGGGCTCACTATTGTGTAATCCAGTTCCATCCACACGAACGACGATTTTCAAATAGCAGTGTGCCCTTGTGCATTTTGACATGTGTGAAGGCTTCAATGATATTTCCTTGGCTTCTCTAGTCAGTTGTAGTCGTTGCGCCGTTGGTCATCATTGTGTACGCCATACCGCGAGAGGCGAAGATCGACGTGGTGCTCGACGCTCACGTGGCAGCAGATGCGAACATGGTTGAAGTCCGTAGCACCTGCCAATTCAGCTCCACATTATTGAGATATGTACAGGGATACCGAACTCAGACGGGGGTGTTGATATCTGGACTTGGCTTGCTTGTCATGCTCACCGTTAGGACTACCGATTATCCGTAGCTATCTTCCTTGCCGTTGCTCCGCCAGACTGAGCTGGACGCATTTCATACGAATGACGGGGAGAGTCATTGGGCATAGAGAAAATACGCCAAGGAGATGCATGTAGAAGTCTATTCTTGTAACATCTGAAGAAGCCTCAGTCGCATCTCCATGGCAATACCAGACGGCACGGCGAATAGGCAACCAAGTCCCCCCATCCTATCTCGTGACAGCCACAACCCGCCCAACATCCTCGGTTCCTGCTTCCGCAGCAAGGCACTGCATCCCCACTGCCGTGTAACCACCCACACACCAGATAGCCCAAGCCCACCTACTATACACACCCAACTCGGCGCCAGCAGCCAGGTTAGCGCACCCACCGCTAAGCCCTCTTTCGATACTCCCTCTCCCAACACAACCACGCACCCTTCCCCACGCATAATATACGACTCATTGAAAAATGCACAACAAAGTCATGCGCATGGCTACAATCGACCGACGCACGCTACAGTCGACCAGCGCACACTACATACCGGACCAAGCTCACAAAACAGGCGTGGCGGCACCTGCTCTGAGAACGTTTTTATTTTCACATGGAAGCCTGGCAGCTTACTGGCTAGTCTATCTCGGGGGGGTTAAAGCGAACCGAGTTTTGGTGCCTGTCCATCACTTGTCGACCGACCACGAGTAAGAAAACCGCCGTAACGTCAACTTGCTTGAACCCCCGCAAATTCCGCCCCTTGGCCGATCGATATAGGTCAGGCAAAACGGGGGCCATTGCTGGGCTTCCCCCTCCCCCTCCCCCCCGGTCCGGGCTTGGCGCCGCATGTTAGCGTGCGTACACTACGTGCTTAGATGCACATGCAACATGACTGGGCCGGAAGCACCGCAGCTGAAAAAGAGTACATGGACGGGGGGCTGGCAGGTATATGTATAGGTTGTGTGTGAAGAGATTATGGGAGCCGCTGTGGCGCCGCGGCGGGCGGTGTGGATAAGTATCGATCCACCAAACAACGTTCGATGTGTCGAGTTGCGTGGGTTGATATTGCGGTCGGACCCAAAAAATGCAAGGGACCTGGCGATGCTGCTGTGCCGTGCGATCAATGATCGCAAAAAAAAAGCTCCGTGGTCATATGCGATAATCCCGTTTGATCCGAAGCCCGCGAGCTTTACGTAGTACCTTTTCAGCTCAGGAGACCTTTTTTTCTTACCTTGTTCAGCTACTAAGTTATCCAACCGGCGTACCATACACACACGCCTACAAACCCTATCTACTTACCTAGCTCCAACGACAAACATGTAACTCTGGACACCTCATTCGCTGCAAACCACCCACGCCCACCCAAACCTTTCGCTTTTTCTTTCATTTTTCTCTCCCCAAAGATCGCAAGTGCAAGAGAGCATGGCAACCCCGTCCGTTTTCGTAACCCCTGTACCTGCCATCCCGTTGCTAAACAAGCCGATCATTATCCGGACGGGCAACAACCGCTGCAAGCAGCAGCGCGCGCGCCCCCCAATCTCGGAGCTGATTCCTCCCACCCCAGTCGCGCAAACGCAGATAATAATCCTGCCTTCGGGCATATGTCTACAAACGCTCTGCCCGGCAGGCACCTGGGATAGTGGTTTGTACATCACCATTTCCAGATGTGCTGATTACTTTACTCACTAGCGCCATGGTGCTTTCTGTTTTGGGGAACTATGCGAGGGGCGCGCCGTGGTCACACACATAGGCAATGGTGGGTTTTTGCGGGGTTTGCGTCATGGGCCAGGGGAAAGAGAGCGAGTGAGAGTGAGAGAGACGACTATGTATATGAGTGGCTTTCGCACTCTCGGTTTGGATTGTTTGGAGGGATTCCAGTGTCCAAATTTGGGTTGAAGGGATACCTTCCTGTTGTCACCACCAGACGTCGGTCTTGGGAATCATGGCTTCCCTTCTCTTCTTGTCTCTCTCCGGACTCGCGGCTGGCGCTGCTATCCAGCAGCGTGACCCTGTGCCTGCAGGCTATGTTGCGCCGCCATACTATCCTGGTATGTGTGCAAACACAGTTTCTAACCTTCTCGTTGTTTTGTAGTGGATGCTAACATTCCGCCAAAAGCTCCCCATGGAGGATGGGTGTCGGACTGGGCTGAGAGTTACCGAAAGGCTTCTCTCCTCGTTTCCAACATGACACTTGCTGAGAAGACTAATCTCACGGCGGGAACGGGAATCTTCATGGGCCGCTGTGTGGGAAATACTGGCAGTGCTTTGAGAGTTGGCATTCCACAGCTTTGCTTGCAAGATGGTCCGTTGGGCGTGAGAAATACCGACCACAACACTGCTTTCCCAGCAGGCATCACCGCTGGAGCGACGTGGGACAAGGATCTCATTTACCGACGTGCAGTCGCTATTGGAGAAGAGTTCCGCGGAAAGGGTGTCAACATCCATTTGGGACCAAGTGTAGGACCTCTTGGACGCAAGCCGCGAGGTGGAAGAAGTATGTATCTGGAAAACTACATCTCTGAGAAGCAGATTACTCACAATTGTTATAGATTGGGAGGGTTTTGGCTCCGACCCGGTTCTCCAGGCCTTTGGAGGTTCTCTGTCTGTAGAAGGTATTCAGAGCACTGGCGTCATTGCTACCATCAAGCATTTGATTGCGAACGAGCAGGAAATGTACCGCATGTGGAATATTGTCAAGCCAGGCTATTCATCAAACGTTGATGATCGTACTCTTCACGAGCTATATCTCTGGCCTTTTGCAGAAGGTAAGTTGAGCCAATTCCTTTAAAATCGCCAGTCTGCGTGTCTCTTTACACTACTGGAATGGACAGAAAGCTGCAAGCCTAAGCACATAATAGCTAACATTCGACCAAGGCGTACGTTCTGGAGTTGGCTCAGTCATGATTGCCTACAATGCTGTCAACGGAAGCGCATGCGCGCAAAACAGCTACATGATCAACGGTCTCCTGAAAGATGAGCTCGGCTTCCAGGGATTCGTCATGTCTGACTGGCTAGCCCAAATCTCCGGTGTCAGTTCAACCCTCGCTGGTTTGGACATGTCCATGCCTGGCGATCGAAATGACATCCCTCTTGTCCTCGGAAACTCCTACTGGATGTACGAACAGACCCGTTCAGTGCTGAACGGCTCTGTCCCAGTGGACCGTGTAAACGATGCCGTGACACGCATCTTGGCCACGTACTTCCAGATGGGCCAGGACCAAAACTATCCAAGGCCCAACTTTGACACCAACACCCAGAATGCCGAGGGCCCGCTCTACCCTGGTGCACTCATCTCGCCTTCGGGTGTAGTAAACGAGTTCGTGGATGTCCAGGGCAATCACGCCGAGGTTGCACGTGAGGTAGCTCGGGATGCCATTACCTTGTTGAAGAACCAGGACAACATTCTTCCTCTGGCTGCGAGTGCTCCGCTCAAGATCTTTGGAACAGACGCTGAAAAGAACCCAGATGGTATCAACTCGTGCGCTGATCAGGGTTGCAACAAGGGTACCTTGGGAATGGGCTGGGGAAGTGGCAGCGCTCGCTACCCATACATGGACTCGCCCATTGATGGCTTCAAGGCTCGCGGTGCAAACTACCAGTTCTTCAACACGGACAACTTCCCAGGCAACTCGAACCCGTCTCCAAACGACACTGCCATTGTCTTTGTGACTGCCGACTCGGGAGAAAACTACATTACGGTTGAAGACAACCCAGGAGACCGAACTTCTGCCAACCTGAACCTGTGGCACAATGGTGACAGACTGATCCAGGATGTTGCTGCCAAGTACTCGAACGTCGTCGTTGTCGTGCACACTGTTGGCGTCATCCTTATGAACGAATGGCATGACCTTCCTTCAGTCAAGGCAATCGTATTCGCCCATTTGCCCGGACAAGAAGCAGGAAACTCTCTGATGCAGGTGCTGTACGGCGATGTCTCTCCATCTGGTCACCTGCCTTACACCCTGCCCAATGCCGAGGACGACTTTGGCAACTCTGTGAAGCTTGTTGGATACCAACTGGGTCAGCCTCAAGATACGTTTACAGAGGGCCTCTACATTGACTACCGTCATTTCCACAAGGCCAACATCACACCCCGCTATGCCTTTGGCCACGGACTCAGCTACACGACTTTCTCCTTTTCCGACGCCACAATCACCCCTGTGACGCCACTCACCAGAACGCCACCAGCACGGCCTGCAAAGGGCACAACCCCGTCGTACTCGACCGCGATTCCACCTGCTTCTGAGGCATACTGGCCCGCGAACTTCAACCGTATCTGGCGCTACTTGTATTCGTGGCTTGACAAGAACGACGCCGACGCTGCTGCGCAGGTGGGAACTTCTCCTTCGACATACCCCTATCCTGCGGGATACTCCAACGAGCAGAAGCCCGGGCCCGCAGCAGGTGGCGCACAAGGTGGCAACCCCGCGCTCTTCGATGTGGCATACGATATTGCTGTAACAGTAACCAACACCGGCAATCGAACTGGCAAGGCTGTTGCACAACTCTACTTGCAATTCCCCAGCGAGAGCACGGTCGACACGCCCATTCTCCAGCTCCGAGACTTTGCAAAGACGTCTACGCTTGCGGCTGGAGCTAGCCAGATGTTGAAGATGCGACTGACAAGGAAGGATCTTAGCGTGTGGGATGTCGTTGAGCAGAACTGGGTCGTCCCTGCTGTGAGTGGTGACTATGGGGTTTGGATTGGTGGGGCTTCAGATGACTTGCATTTGAGGTGCGGTACGGCTACGGGACGTTGCCAGGGAGATCAGACAAGCCCTGTCTGAGGGGTTCTCTTTGCTCTAAAGACATGAGCGAGGCCTTTTCTATAACGAATGACTTTATTGGTTAATAGTTAATCACGTTACCGATATTGAATGAGTGCTGTTCCGCTCCGATATTTCACAAAGTTCTGACCACACCTTGTGTTGGGCAATTCAGTCCAAAATGTTCCGGCTGCCTGTCACATGCAGAACGGGATAGTGTCAACAGCCCGGCATCTCGAAAGGGGAATCCCCGTTTTAATAATCCAAAAGCGAGCCAAGCGGGATACTATTTCCCATGCCGCCGAACAAAAGAAACATTTCCACGAAGCTTTCGACAATTGTGAAAGACTCGACACATGTCACACGCGATGTCCATATCCAAGGGATCAGGGGGCTCACGTGAGGCAATGAGCATACCGGCGGCGGATGCTCTTCTTGATTGGCCGAGCCGAAGGAGATTGCGAGGGACTCATGCGCAGAAGCGACGTGATTGGCCTGACTCGAGCATCTTTATCCCTGACTATCGCGTGGGAGTTTACTACGTATGTGCATACTAGTACAATAGTCGTCCCTTGTGTCCATGTAAGGCTGGAACACGACGAGGAGAGCTATTAATACACGTCATGCGTCGAGTGCTCCAGAAAGATGCTACCGTGTTTGCACGAGACTGGTGCGTGGTTTGAGGAGGGGCGCCAGTCGAGTCGCATGTACATGGCCAACGAAGCTTTGCAGGGGAGTCTGCGAAAGGGAGTGTGGTGAGGTAATTTCAGGGTGAATTGGGCGTGCCGAGGGGTCTAATAGCTATTAGATGACAGTGAGGGTGAGTGTGTATGTGCATCGGGCGTTTTGTGCTATGAAGGCCGTGGCGAGGGCCAGAGCGAGGCCAGACGTCACAGGCGCTAGGCCCGTTTGGGAGCTGGTGCAGTCGTTATGGTTACTCCGGACAGCACCTTGGACTCCTTGCTGTACCAGCTTCCCCAGGGGTTCATCCACCATCACTGCACTGCTCGTCTGTTCAAAACAAAATCCCGTTACTTGAATCATCAATTGAAACCTTCTGCTGTCTGTTGTAAGCGTTGCGTTCTTGTGGGACGCTCCACGCATCCCTGCCACCAAGTCGTCACTGCTTGTACATAAACAAATTGCCCGGGTTTCAGGCGCGGACCACCGACTTCTCACACGTATCCCATATTACTTACATTCCGGCGACTGCGCTCCTCGACACCACAAAGCCGATTGCAAAATTGACGATTGCTTCGTCGCCTCTCAGCATGTCCAACGGCGTGCGCAATCTGCGCGCCATGTTCGAAAACTCCAACGCCGCTGCCTCACCCGAGCCCCGCGGTCGCTCCCCAGTAGACCATTCCGCCCCAGGAGACAACGACGACCGCCCCAGATCAAAGGTGCGCGCCTCTTTTGTCCCCGTCGAGCCCTCGCTCCCTCCTACGAGCGCCTACACGCCCACCGACCTCGGCCAGACAAAGGGCACACCGTCCAACAGCACCGTTGCACACCGCCGCGAGAGCTTCAGCATCAGCGAGGACAGGCCCGAGGAGCTCGCTGATCTCAAGAAGATTGTCAGCGACGAGAAGGAAGAGCGCGCCAAGAGCCTGGCTATCCCTGAGGCTGTTCCCGAGCAGGCCGTAGCATCAAGAGAGTCCTCGCTATCGGCTCCTCTTGACCGAAAGGCAGAAGAAAAAGAATCTACCGACATGCCTAAGGCCTCCGACCTCGCAGAAGCTTCTGAGCCCCAGGTTGAGCAGACACCATCCCAACCCGAAGAAAAAGCCGTCGACGACGCCGAAATCTCCCCAATGCCATCCCCACAACAGATTCCCGCTCAGCCTGCCGAAAATCCGGATAAGCCTACTACGGGCGCCCAGGAAGATCTCGCGCTGAGGCCGGCAGCCCCCACGGATGAAGCTGCGGTGGAACACGACACACCTGCCCAAGATGAAGCTGCGGTTGAGGAAAGCATTCCTCCCGCCGAGGAAGCTGCCATTGAGGAAGCCGCCGTCAAAGAGGAGGCAGCTGTTGCCGAAGCTGCTATCGCAGAGGAGAAAGCTGCAACTACCAAAGAAGAGCCCCAAGCCGACGCTCAGCCCGCCGAAACCTCAGACAAGACTGAGACTGCATCTTCCGCGGATGTGCCCACTATCACCGAGGAGGCGGCTCCTGCGTCTGAAGAGACTCCAGCAGCGGAGACTTCCAAGCCTGCTGACAGCAAGACAAAGACCAATGGAACTCCTGCAGCTAAGAAGCTAGACGTCAAGAAGCCTTCGGCAATCTCTACTACTAAGGCCTCCAAGGCGCTACCCGCATCCGCAAAGAGCCCTCTTCCAAAGAGCCCTCTTCCAAAGGCAGCACCAAAGACTCCCCCGAAGACCAAGTCGGCTACACCAGCGCCCAAGCCCAGTCCAGCACCCAAGGCGTCCAAGCCGGCAGCCCCTAAGGAGGCCGCTAAGGCCCCTGCTACAAAGGCTCCTGCTCCTGCTACAAAGGCCCCGGCTGCTAAGGCCCCTACAACCAAGACGAGCCGCTCTTCCCTACGTCCAGCAGCATCCTCCGCTACTGCACCCACTGCCAGCGCTGCATCCAAGGCCAAACCAGCAGCACCATCTACAGAAACTAAGAAGCCTGCCGCTTCCAAGCCCGCCCCTGCTGCTCTCCGCAAAAGGTATGTACAATTGAATTTCTCATAGTCCTTAGTTCTTACATCAATCCAGTGTCTCGCCAACCGGCTTCAAGAAGCCAGCTCCCAAATCGCCCACACGCCCAGTCGGTCTGCCTTCACGTTTGACCGCACCTACTGCGGCCTCAGCTGCGAAGCATGGCGAGGAACCCAAGGTTGCAAAGAAACCTGCCACTACTACTACACGCGCTCCACCCAAGCCCGCCACCGCCACCAAGGCCCCACGACCTTCAGTTGGACCCAGTGCACCGAAGCGACCGGAGTCCCGCACCTCGACCACAAGCACCGCACCCAAGGGCGGTTTCCTTGAGCGCATGATGCGCCCAACCGCAGCCAGCTCCAGCAAGACGCATGAGAAGCCTGCTTCTCCACCACACAAAGCCCCCGCCGCCTCAAAGCCTAGCACGCTACAAAAAGGAAAGAAGAAGGCAGAGGAAGTTGCTTCCAAGGTTGAGGATGTCGCATCCAAGGCCAAGGCAGCCGTCACCAACGGTCATAGTGATGAGGAGCATAAGGAGGAACACAAGGCGGAGGAAGAAGCCCCAAAGGAGTCTGAGCCTACTGAACAGGCAGCTGAAGAAGTTCCTGCTGATGAGGCGTCGCACGAGCCGGCAAAGGCACCTAGTCCAGTGCCAGAGGCGGAGGCTCCCGCCGCAGAGCTGGATGCGCCAAAGCCGGAAGGCGAGGCAGTACGGTAGATGAGAGTGAATAGGCCTCTTGTCATTGGGTAGGTTTGACGACAGGGTTTCGCATTCCTGTAATGTCTACAGAACCGATTCGCGAAGTCGGTAGGCTGTTGGTAAAACTCTTGTTCAATGGCGCCATGTTTGTTTATTTTTATACCTTCACTTCTCCAATAGCATTTTCTGGAGCGATTGTTTGGCGCAAATCATAGTCTTGGGGGATACCTTGGGATATGGGTGGGGTGAGGGATGGATGGAATTGGATACAGATCATTGCGTATATAGTTGCCCTTTAAAGCTATAGGTCTCGCAGACGTTGCTAGACATTTCTTGTATATCGTAATCCATTCTTCACTCGGAACTTGATCTTGTCCGCGCTCCTGGCTGGACGGGACCCGGCACGCGGTCAGCCGGATGCTTCACTGAACGCGTCGGCACGTGACATTGTATAGTAGTCCTTTCGAACCTTGGTGGTGACAAATCGAGGCTTTTGCCTGTTCCGAGACACAGACTCGAAACGTGTCTCTTTACCCCAGCCACGCCACACCCTTGTTCTTTTGCTTTTATTCGAACATGGTTCAAGGCAGCACATCATCGAGCAGATCATGCCTTTGTCAAGTTGGTGCTCCGAGTCAGGGGAGTCTACGCAAGGTCATGCTTACTAACTGTTCGCAGGACCATCTCGGGCGCCGTTGTCTTTCCGCTTACAGGACAAACGAGCGCCATGGGCCGTTGTACCAACAGGATGAGACGCTGCCCAGGCCAGGGCAATGAGGGGAAGTTCGGAAGAGGAATGGTCCATGACTTGCATGTCGGATTGCCAGGGCGTCCCCGACCGACTTGCCTCGGCTGCTTGTGAGCTCCACTATTCAGCTGGGGTTAAACGTCACTAGTCGACGATGAAGGGCATGATGCGTCCTGCGATTGAATCGTACTTCGCGCCGACGAGCCCCTTCTTCACGACACCCGATATCGCGATATCGAGCCTCGGTGCTTTTTGGTACTGTCTTCTTTTTGCCTACTAGTCACCAATCATGTCAGGTAAGCGCGATCTAGCTTCATACATCAATCACCCTGCATCCCTAACCTCCTGCTAATCGGCCTTGTTATAGCAGCTCTTCCGCTCGCGCTTCCCGCAGCCGCGGCTGGCCTCGCATACCTTAACGGTCGCCATGGCTTCACCTACGACTTGACACTGCTATCTGCCCTCGTACGCAGCTCCATCGATAGCGCGGTCCGCCAACGACGCGACACTTGGAACCTCTTCTACGAACTCGAATCACATGCCAAATCGTCGCGAGCAAACCATACTTGGATCATCTTCCAGGGAAAGTCGTGGACGTATGCGCAAGCGTATGATGTTGTGCTCCGCTATGGAGTATGGCTGAAGAGCAAGGGCGTGGAAAAGGGCGATATTGTCGCCATGGACTTTATAAACTCGGACGTCTTCGTATGGGTGTGGTTTGGCCTCTGGAGCATTGGCGCAAGCCCGGCCTTTATCAACTACAACCTCACAGGCAAGCCGCTTGTACACACCATCAAGACGAGTACGGCCAAGTTGGTGCTTGTGGACCAAGAAGTCAAGGCCAACTTCAACGAGGATGCACTGAGGGACCAAGGCCTCACTCGGACGGATAACACTGACAAGCTCGAGTACACGTTTGAACTTCAGTCTGATGCCTCGCCATCTACCGAGAAGCAAGCTCAACGACAGGTTGAAATCATCTTCTTTGATGGTGCATTGGCAGCTCACATTCTCACACAACCGCCAACGCGCTTCCCTGATTCAATTCGCTCAGTCCAGGAACGCACAAACATGGCCATGCTCATCTACACGTCTGGCACAACAGGTCTTCCTAAACCTGCGTTGATGTCGTGGGGCCGATGTGTTGGTGCTTCCAAGGCTGGGTCAGTTTGGGTGGGACTCAACAACAACAACGATATCCTGTACACATCTATGCCGCTATACCACAGCTCAGCTTCAATCCTGGGTCTGTGCGCCACCCTCCGCGCCGGAACTACCATCTGCTTGTCGAAGAAGTTTTCTCACAAGACCTTTTGGCCCGAAGTCCGTTCTTCCAATGCCACCATCATCCAATATGTCGGTGAAACATGCCGATACCTCCTCTCCGCTCCTCCATCGCCCCTGGACAAACAGCACAAGCTCCGCGCAGCATTCGGTAACGGCATGCGCCCTGACGTCTGGGAAGCTTTCAAAGAGCGCTTTGACATAGAAACCGTCTACGAATTCTACGCCGCAACAGAAGCGCCCAATGGGCTCTTCAACATCTCGACAAATTCCTTTTCCAGTGGTGCGATTGCACGTAACGGCACAATAATCAACACGCTCCTGAGACAAAAGCTCTGTCTCGTACGCCTGGATCCCGAGTCCGACCCGCCAGAGCCCATCCGGGACCCCAAAACAGGCCTATGTAAAATCTGCGACTCCAATGAACCGGGTGAAATGCTCAGCAAACTCGATGCCACAGACATCAACAAGGCCTTCCAAGGCTATTATGGCAACTCAAAAGCAACAAACAGCAAAATCATCCGTGACGTCAAGAAGAAAGGAGACGCCTACTTCCGCACCGGCGATCTCATGCGCTGGGACGCCCAGGGCCGCTTCTGGTTTGTCGACCGCATCGGCGACACATTCCGCTGGAAAGCAGAAAACGTCTCTACAGCCGAAGTCAGTGAAGTCCTCGGTAGACACTCCGCTGTCGCCGAAGCAAACGTCTACGGCGTCCAAGTCCCGCGCCACGATGGCCGCGCAGGCTGTTCCGCCGTCGTGTTCAAAGACCAGTCTACCACGCCTTCTGATGCTGTCCTGACGTCTCTGGCACAGCATGTGAAGAGTCAGTTGCCGGCTTTCGCGGCCCCAATTTGGATTCGCGTCACCAAGGAGATGCAGCTTACGGGCACCAATAAGCAGCAGAAGCATTTGTTGCAGAAGGACGGTATTGATCCTGAGGTTGTCGAGGGTCAGGGGGATGTCTTGTATTGGCTCAGGGATGGTGCTTATGTTCGTTTTACGAAGGATGATTTGAAGAGGATTGAGGGCGGAGGTGTTAAGCTTTGATGTTGTTTTTGTCATAGTCTTTTCTTTTCCTTTTCTTGAGATATGCGAATGAATGGCGTGATACCATTTGTAGGAATCTTTTATTGTTGTTGTTGTTGTTGTTGTTGTTGTTTTGATCTTGTTCGAAGAAGATGATTGGTACTTGGGTGAAGCTGACACGTTATAGCCTATTTTTCTTTTCTTTTCTCAAAGTAATACTCTACACTGCCTTTGCCTTTCGCGTCTTCCTAGGTTTCTTCTTCGTAGGCTCCTTGTATAATTCATCTTCGTCATCTTCATCCTCTCCAGCATCCTCGCCCGTACCTTGATCTTCCTTCTGCGCCAGCTCCACAGGTTTACTCGTCCCAGCCTTCCTCTTCTTCCTCCCACCATTCGCACCCTCATCCCGTTTGGCCCCCTCCTCACTACTCTCCCCCTCACTCCCCCCCCTCGCCCCCTCCCTCTCCGCCAACTTTGTCAACGCAGCGCCCAACCTCTTCCCCGCAGCCGCCTTCCCCTTCCTCTTCCCACTCGGCCCGCTCCCCTCCGCCCCTCTAACCCTCGGCGCAAAAGCACCTGCCCCAACACTCCCCTCGAAGAACCTCGTGATATTCGCCTGTGTGCCCTCCTTCTCCCTACGATTCATATCGCGGATAACAGGCACCAGCACCTCATCTGTGCGCTCGGTGCTCCACCCAATCTGCGAACTGAGGTACGCGCGCAGCGCAGCGAGGTCGGGGACGCCCCACTGGAAGGGCTCGGGGCTGGAATCCACTTCCGGGTGTAGATAAGCGTCTGCGACTCTTGGGTCTGGGAAAGAAGTGGGCAGGAAAAGCTTGGTAGCTTGATTTTTCCGGAAGCGTTTGCGGAACGACGATTGCGCGTCGTCTGATTTTTTGATGGTCCCGTTTTGTACGCCGTCCCACCACTTTCTGAAGCTGGTCAGATCTTGGAATTCGGAGAGGATTTCTAGCGCAGTCACGGGGCCGATGCCCGGTAGGCCTTCTGTGTAGTCGGAGCCCAGGAGTTGGGCGATGTCGATTAGCTTTTGGCGAGTGAGGCTGAATTCAGAGGTCAAGTCGGAGGAGAGGTAGCATTCGACGAATTTGGCGGCGTTGAACATGTTTTTGTAGACGCGGGTGCCGCCGAAGAGGAAGGTGTCCGAGTCGTCGGTTACGATGCCGTCGACGAGACCCAGATTGACGAGTTCGGCGCATTGGGCTTCTGCTTCCATGGGCGCGGTGATATATGGGAGGCCGAATAAGGTGAGGAGCTGTTGGCACTCGGAAATCATTGTTTGTGTGACTTCGTCGGCATCTCGACGGTCTTTTTTCTGCTGAGCACGTAGTTGTTTGAGTTCTTCGTCAAAGTCTACTCGTGTGGCGGTGTTGTTGCTTAGTTCCTGGGCGAAGCGTGCGTGCTCTTCGGCTTCCTTTGCTAGAGAGGCGAATAGCTCTTCATCTTCTGGATCAGAGTATTGGTCGGAATCATTGCCTTCTGCAATGTCGATAGGGACATTGTCGTCAGCAATGCCACTATATGGGGCAATTGGCTTCGTAAGGTCTTCTGGGCCCTGTAAAGGCGAAAACTCTCTTCGAGATTGACGCGGTTTTTCCTGTCTAATCGGGACGTCCTCAAATTCGGGAGATGCAGACTTTGGCTGCTGAGGTGCTGAAGTGGTTTCACCTTGCAAAAGTACATCCTCGAATTCAGGCGACGGCGATTTGACAGATGTATGTTCAGGAACTGGATCTGTCTGCATTGGTACATCTTCAAACTCGTCAGATGGAGTTTCAGAAGCTTGCCGTGTCTCTGACTTCGGCTCCACGTCGTTTGTTGCTTTCTGTCGCGCGCGCCTTTCGTCTTCCGGCTCACTCTCCGACCAATCCACTGGTTCCTCATCAGAATCCTCGGCAAACGGACCCTTCTTTACCAAGGCAAGATCTTGAGGAGGTGGCGATGGCTGGCGTGGGGAAAGTGGTTTTGGTGGCTCTGCTCTAACTTTGTCGGCCAAATCACCCATCTTCAACTCAGCCTCTCCAGTTTGTACATCCTCCATCTGCAGATCAGTGTCATTGTCTGAGTCAATCTCTATTACTTGCTTTTGGGTTTGACTTGCGGGTGCATCCACGTCAATGACTTCCTTTGTGTCTTGCTTGCGCAAGCTTGGGAGTTCTTGGAACTGGAATCTGCTCTTTTCTTCTTGGCGAGCTTCTTCCCATAGCAACTTTTCCTCCTGTCGTTGGGAGTTTACCTCTGAAGCAATATTCCGTGACGCGTTGAACCAGGGTGGAAGTGGCGCTGCAGCCTTTTTTTCCTCTGCGTAATTCTTCTCGAAGCCTCCAGCGTTCTCAGCCTCCAGCTTTTCCATTTTTTTCTTGCCAAGCAGGGAGTTACCCAGATTGAGTCTCTCAAACGGAAGAGGCCCATCGAAACCCGAGGAGTTGATCTTTCTTGGTACAGATTCGACAGTTGATGGAGATGCTTGGACATTAGGTTTAGACAATGGCTTTTGCACGTTGGTAGGACGTTTTGACTTGCGAGACTCTGCCAGCGCACCGTGCAGGTCTATCTCATCTTCGCTGTCACTGCCTTCAAAAGGGCCCTTCGTAGCCAGTTTACTACTGCGTTGATTGGCAAGCCTTCCGATAGCAAGTCCAGAGCCCTTAGTCCCAGCAAAGGGATTAGTCTCTTCAGCACGCCTTTGTTGAAAAACCTCGCGAACTGGATCTTCTTCAGACTCCTCAGCAGCTTCTCCAGGTTGTCCTCCCGACTGCATTGATAATGCAATCGCTTGCTGCAACTGTTCGTTCTCAAGTTCGTCGCCCGCCTCCTCGGCTAAATCGTTGCTACCACTAACATGCACGTCCATCCAGTCTTGGTCTTCATTGTCATCAGCAAGGAACAATGAATCGGGGTTTTGATCCACAGGCACGGCCCGCTTGAGCGCAGACTGCTTTGGCTTTTCCTTCCTTGATCTGTAAAGCTGTCGACGCCGTGTTGCCAACTCATTTGCAATGAATTCACGACCTTCCTTTTCCTGGGCACTCAACCCTGCTTTAGGTTTAGGGAGTCGATTCAAGCCCTCAATTGGCACGTCCTCAAAATCTTCGTCGTCTTCCCACTCCTCATCATCTTTAGCTGGAAGCTGTGGCGGTTCAACCTCAATTGGTTTGTGAGCTTTTCCGGCTTCCTTGTTCAAAACCACGCCGAGGGCCCAACCACCCTCAACTCCGTCATTCTTGACAAGGACGTACTCCCTGTCTCTCTCACCAGCAACGCGATTGAAACCACCAGTGCCAAAGGAATCGTCGTTCATGCCGTTAAGATTCATCAAGCGTTGCGTAAGTTCATTACGTTCGCGCACACGCTCAATCTGGAACTTGGAGAACGCCATTCTGTCGGGAAACATTGCGTCAAGTTGTTCCTTCGAGTGACCCATCCTGAGCCGACTTCGCAACCTGGCTGCGTTCAGGATATTATAGCGATCGGCGGGAGGCAAACTTTGGAAAAAATGGCCGTCAAAGTCGATCTTAGAGAAATCGTAAACATTGATGTCTTCGCCTCTATCAAATTGCCGAGCATATTCTTCAAGTTCCTCCAGAGACATGACTCTGGGGTCGTTCGCAGCGCCCATTTCCGACATGGATTTGCCCAGGTCTGGCAAATGATATTGGTCTTTTCTTTTGAATGTGCGGTTCTGAGTCCGTTCCTGGGGCGTTTGGAGTAGTTCGTCTGCATAAACCAAGGTTTCAGGTATCTCTTCGTCTTGCGGGTTTTCCCGTGGATTTTTGGCGGCTTCCTTCCTCTTTCTATCCTCTTCCTCGGCAGCCCTCTGCATCTGTATTGCTAACAGCTTCCCGGCTGTCTTGAGTGCATCGTCTCGTCTGCCCTCCCGGCGCGACTTACGGTGGCGGATAGTCTGTCGCTTCAAGGCTGGCGCGCCCCCGTCGAAGACGAACACAGGCTTTATGCCAATGAAAAGTAGCTTACATACTCGGCGAAAGAAGCCAACGATATGGCTGTTCCGCAACGCATTTCCTTCCTTGTCGCGCACAGCTTTGAGGAACTGGTAGATCCAGATGGACGCATCGACAGCTAGTCGTTTCTTGTTCAGCGTCTCAATCTTAATCGGCCGCGCGCAGGGCTGCAAAACGGTCCAGAGGCCAGTAACACCCATTGCGCCCCTCTACAAATATGAGCCATCAATTTTGACTGGTAAAGGGTGTGCCTGTATTACTCGAGGTGAGTTTTGACCGGGTGCTTGCTGCCTGGTGATCGCGCGTTCAAGGCGCGTCGTCAATGACGACATGCCAAGCCTGACCCACATGCCCACGCGACCTTCACGTGCTTAGTCTGGACTTTTTTTCAGACGTCCACTGATGAGTGTTCTCTCAAAATTACAATTTCTATAGTTTAGTTCGGCTATTGTACATGTCAAAATAGTCTACATTGCTTGTTACTCAAGCCCAAGGCCAACGCCTACGGTTTGAGATTCCTTTCTGTCTTCTTCATCATCACCAAAATCTGCGTCGCCATGATCCTCTCCATCTCCTATTCCTGCATCCACATCATGAAAGTCACTGCCTTTATGCTGATGCTTGTTTCGAGAAGTGCTCTGGGTCACATCATCGTCATCCGAGTCATCAAAGACTCTACTCTGTTTCCTCCCAGTTGGGAAATCACCCAATCCACCCGGAGGTCGAAGTTCAAACATTGAATTAGGGCGGTCATGGCTGTATGGCGCAGCACGCGACTTTCCTTGAGCAGCTGTCGGTTGCGCGAGATCAGGCCGTGGGGAAGCTTGTGGCGAGATGGCTGACCACCAGCCGCTTAGCCGCTTGGACAATGATGGGCTGTCAGGGACATCTGTCTGCTTCTCCACGTTTGTTACAATTTCGCCCAGCTTGCCCTTCTTCTTCCGGGTAAAGTTGAAGCCTAAAGGAAGATCTATCGGGGATCCAGGTCTTGAGAGCCCGGCAGATGATGAAGACTCTGAACCAGATGCAGGGTATGGGGCGTCTCCGGTAGGTCCATCGCTATGTGTTCGCTTGAGCAAGCTGCGGAGATCCTCCTCACTGAGGGTATTTATTACTTCTTCATCACGTACGCCACGAGGTCTGTACCTGCGCCTGCCCTCTTGAATAGCGCGTTCTAGCTTGGCTCGGTTCGCAATGAACTTCAGTTTCGGAAACGCAGATTGCTGGCCTACATGAATCATGCGTGCCAATCTTTGTGGGGTAGGATCAGACAATATATGAATAAAGTCCGAAGGGATGGACTTGGGCCAAATGGTGATAGTTCCGCTAAAGCGTTGCAGCCATAGCTCGCTCCAATCCTGGCCAAGGGGCCTCGGTAATAGTTCTAGATGACGAAGGACCTTGAGCCATTTATAGAGATCAAGTTTGAGATACTACAAATATGGTTA